CTTGGGTCCCATGGTCCCTTCACAGACCAACCCAGGGCCCAGTCTGTCCATCACTGTTGTGTGTGCGCTCTCCAGCAGGCAGGCAAGCTCAGTCGCTATGCTGTGCTTCTCCCTAGGGGAGGTGCATCTACAGTCCCACGCTGGCAGGGGCTACAAGTCACTTTAGGGTGGAATTAGGGACAAGGGTGTCATGGAAGGCAGCAGCCCTCGGGCCCTGGGGGAGCAGGGGAAGCTCTTGGAGCCTGGCCTGAGTTAGGGCTGGATAAGGACTCAGCGCTTCTCACACGGAAGAGATAGAGCCCTGAGTAGAGGGAAGGGTCTGAGCTCTATAGACCACAGAATCCCTGTCTAGGAAGGACTTTGGCTCAGAGTAGGTTTGTCCCAGCAGCACACAGCGATTCAAGCGAAACTAAAGCAAAAGTCTCACTGCTATTGTTATCTGGATCTGTTAATTGTGTTTAATTTGGTCGGTCTGCTTTTCTGAACGCACTCCCATTACTTCAGCCTGACCACGTAAACCTCTGTTTGTGTGTGATCCTTGCATGTGTCCTTCCTAGGGAAGCCCATAAAGTGTTGGGCTGTAATAGTTGGTGTGCCTACAATGCTTGTCATGTGGTGCTCACAGCTACCAACCATATACTTTGTGTGTGATGGCTCATGCAAACCCTCGTTCACGCCTATCTGGGACAAAGGAGGGATGATAAGAGTCTGAAATTTTTTGAGGAAACAAAGTGGCTCATCGACATCATCAAACATGCTTAGTCTACTAAGGACCATTGCAGCCAGAGTGATCTCAGTAGATGGTGTCATACCAGGTGTTGTGAGGTTCCCAGCTCAGGCACAATCCTGTCAATCGCTGGGGCTGCCCCAGGGGCGGCACCAGTTAGGGGCAGGGCATGCATCCCTTGGCACAGCAATGGAGAGCAAGGGAAGCTTTTGTCCATCCTGGCAACATGATGCATGCAATGCTGCTTTCAAATATAATGAGCAACTAAAGAAAAGACAGATCTTTGTGAAATTGTGCCATTTCCCACAAAGTCAAACCACTTTATGCTCAGGCTGAGGCTCAAATAAGAACATCTGTATTTTTTGACCTTTTTGATAAATGATCTTCACAAAGACACCTTGAAACCCACTCAGAAGCCCAAGCCTTTGAAGTTCCTGGTTTCATTCCTCTTCAACTATCTTGTCCCAGATTGATACAAAGTACAAGTGTGAGAATTGTGGGAATATTCTTATGAACAATAGGTGTGACTCAACTTACTCAATCATTTTGCATTGCTTCCCCCTGAGTATGAAGGGGTTAATTTCTCCCTGGGGACAAAGGAGTGAGTTGGTTGTAGATCACATAAGCCTGCCTAGAACTGATTGGAATCAACACAGGTGAATGGAGGTCCCAGGAGAGTCAACAGAAGCCCCAACAACTGAACATTAACTTTCAATGGCTGGCCACCAAGGAACCTGAACATATGACCACAGCACAGCTGCTTCTGGAGCCACAGGGGCCAGGTGTTAACAGAGTGTGTCTTAAGTTTGCTGCTGCCCAGGACAGACACACATGACACAGAGAGGCTGAAAGAGACTCCAGGAGGCCCTGGAACAGTAGGGCAATTGCTTTGGCCAATACATACTTGGACTTAAACTTTGCTTTACCATTCTAATGTGGACTCTTAATTGATGTTCTCCAGTTGACTAATAAATGCTTTCTTGGTTTTGGTAAAAGGCGGCCCTGCAGATAATTACTAGCTATATTGCTGCCTGAAGGTGTAACATTTCTAACAAGTGTCTGAACTCTTTTGGACTCACTAGCGAGCCAGGGTGAGAAACAAGAATGCTGTAGCCTTAAGTCTCAGGGTCATGGGATTGTCCTTATAAAAAGCTGTGGCTAGGGCCTAGCGAATAATAGGGATACTCCCACAGAGACTGTATAACAGCTGAAGCATCGAATCCCCTGTAAACCCATGACTATAAACTAGGCCAGGCCTCAAGGGTGAGATGACATCCCTGTCAGGGACCTGATAAAAAAAAAATCTGCTAGGAAGGGTCTTAGGCCAGGTCTACAGTAAAAAGTATACATCGGCATAGCTATATCTCTCAGGGTGTGAAAAATCCACCCCCCCTGAGCAATGCAGCTATGCTGCTCTAAGCCCTGATGTAGACACCACCTGTCAGGGAGATGGACTAACCACAGTGATGGAAGAACCACTTCCAGTGCTGTGGTGAGTGGCTACACTGAAGTGCTATAGCAGCCCAGCTATAACTATGCCACTGAAGCAGTTAAGTGTAGACAGCCTGAGTCAGAAAAGAATTCAGCACCATTTGATAGAAAGCGTGTGTGCATGTCTGAGTGGGGAGTGCATGTCTTTAAGATGCCATGTTGAACCAGCTATTGTTGACATTCCTTTGTAACCAGCTCTATATCTCCTTTTCCTCAGAATTGGATGGCTAGTTAATCAGCTTTGTCAGTGCCCATAGGCGCCAACTTTCTCCAGCACCAGTGGAAAGGGGCGCCCCCCTGCCTCAGCCCCGTCCCCACCCTTTCCCCGCCCCTGGCCCCGTCCCCATCCCAACCCCCTCCCCAAAGTCTCCGCCCCTCCCTGCCCCTATTGGATCCCTTCCCCAAATCCCCGCCCCGGCCCCGCCTCTTCCCCCAGCGCGCCGCGTTCCCCTTCCTCCCCGCCCCACGAATCAGCTGTTTCGTGGCGCAAGCGCTGGGAGGGAGGGGGGAGAAGCAGGACGCGGTGGTAAGCTGGAGCAGGTGGGGCGGGGCAGCCCACCAATTTTTTTCCGTGGGTGCTCCAGCCCAGGAGCACCCACGGAGTCGGCGCCTATGTCAGTGCCCATCTGTGGTAAGCACTATCTGGCTGGCAGAGGCTTGATCCAGATCCAAGAGTTTAATGTGGGTAGGCCATGGGGAAACAACAGGAGGAGATGCCAGAGTGAGTGACTTTCCCTATATTGCTACACAGGTTCACACTTTGAGGGTCTTACTGGGTCCTCAGCTCCATCTGGATACACACATAGCAGCAGTGGCCAGGAGCTCTCTTCCATCTGTGACTGTCCTGGAGGTTGAGACCATAAGTCTTATATGCAAACCTTGCCACACACTTCTTCCTCCAGAATTGGTTACTGCCATGAACTTTTCTTGGGGATTGCACTTGAAGATCACTCATACTTCACCTTTTCCAGAAGGGTCCATTTAGTGGAACTTCTCACAGACCACAGATTATGGTTGATTTCCAAGTGCACATCAAAGTGTTCACAGCTCAAAACAGAGCTCCTCTTTGGGCGGCTGGCTGCCTCGGAGTGTGAGTCTGAGGACCTGGAGCTGATGGGGTGCTGTTCTCAGGCAGGTTTCCCCCGTGTTAGAATACATGGCTCCCTGCCGGGGGTGGCAGAGGGCGACACTGTTGACCTACAGGGCACACTACTGTTGCCAGCACAGAGTGCCCGAGGCAAGGCAACTGTTAGGTTCGTGGCCCGGTGTGCTTCGCGCCAATAAACACACCAGGTGGAGAAGCAAACAAAGTTTATTTGAGATCTCAAAGCGGTGCAAGGAGACTGGCACGTCTCAAATCAAGCACACTAACAGAAACAGTTTTTTTTCCTTTATACCTTTACAGTCAAGCCTCACCCACCCCTTCCCCTGCTACCCCTCCCTTCCCTCCCCTCCATTCCTCTCTCTTCACCCCTCCCGTCCCTGGTAACAATTACTAAGCAAATAGCAATTACATTTAAGCAGTTAGTTTATGTTGGCAGCTATAAGTTCAGCTCGTTAGTAACACTTCTTGAACTACTATCTTGTCCCGTTCCTTTGATTTCCTTCGGCCAGAAGTATGCAGGCCTCATTATACTGCAAAGGGGGGTTTACCACTGATATCAAGCTGCTTACACATTTCACTTGCACCTGGCTTTTGAGGTCGATTAGAGTTTAAACATGGAAGGAGTTTGGTTCAGGCCTAGTGCAGGAAGGCTTCATTGACACTTGTGATTTTCCACCCTCCTGAGTCACCTGGGGTGATGGTGATGCCTGGTGACGTCAACACTACCAAACCTATTTTCTCACGCTCTTCCCAGTGGGGGCCGGGGGTTGAAGAGAGAGGAAGGCTCAGCTGTGGGGACGATGCCCTGAAGTGCTCAGTGGTGCTGGGGACTGTGAACTGTAGCAGCGCACAGCGTCTAGGGCCCAAAGGGATGACGGCCACCATCTAGTCGGACCTGTACGGCACAGGCCAGAGAGCGTCCCCAAGGCAATGGCTAGCACCAATTGGCCAGAGAAACACCGTCCCCCGGCTGTCCTGAGAGCCGGGCTGGTGATTCCAGGGTAGCCCTGAGGGAGCAGGTCAGTGGGGGTGCGGACAGGGGGTCTGCGCCCTCACACCTGGCCCACAGAGCCCTGACCTGAATGCCAAACTCTTCCCTTAACCGCAATGGCCGCCCTTGCCCGTTAGTCACCTCACCCATTATTTTCAATAGGGGTGAAGCCAAGTTGCCCTCGGTTAAGATGGCCGCGCTTTCCCGCGAGCGTCTCCGAGGTACACGGCGGCCGCCCCCGCCCTAGTAAAGATGGCTGCCATCTGCCAGGGTTTGCAATGTGACTGAAGCCGCAAAGAAGATGGCGGCTGCCCCGAGGGGCGGCCCACGAAAGTCTTTCCCCTCCAGCGCCGCCCTAGGGCTATAGCCCAGACCGCCCCGGAGGGGGGCGGGGGTGCACCGTCACGCCCTGCTCTCCCCGTCCTCATAGAGCCATAGAGATGCCCCGCCCGCGCAGATAGAGCGTCCGTTCCAGGAAGCGGCGCGGGCGGGGGTCCAAGGTTATCGGCTTAGAGCCGAGCCGCGCTTCCTCCCCGGCCATAGAGGAGCTGGCGGAGTCGGACAGAGCGTCTCCCAGCGCGGCCATAGAGTGGCTGCCGGCCGTCGCCGGCTCGGGGGCATCTCGCCATTTTAGAGGAGAGAGGCGGAGAGCGGGGCGGAGGCCGAGCTGAGACCAGGTACTGGGCCCCTGGGGGTGTCTGCGGCGGCCGCGGAGCCTGGGGCCGGGCCGGCGCCCCGTTGGCGTTAGCGGGCGGCTGTGAAGCTGCTGTGCCCGGGGGTAGGTGGAAGAGCCCCCCCGCCCCGCCTGCCCTCCCCATGTTGGTGGGGTGGGAACAGGCCCCCGGGGTGTCACATTGCAGACAGGTGCGGGTTAGTTCCTTAGGCGCAGGTGGGGGAGACGCCCCTCACCTCCCTGGTGGCCAGGCCTGGAGGAGGGAGGTTGGCTTGGTTGATGAAGCGCTGACCTGGGATATGATAAAAATCAATTCCCTGCTCTACTACAGACTGGGTGTATGATCTCGGGCGTCCTTCAGTCTCTCTGGTCCTCCATGCCCCACCTGCAATTACCTTTCCTCACCTCACAGGGGGATAAGCTCATTAATAACAATCCTTAGCCTTTATGTAGCATTCTTCACCTCAAAGCACTTTACAAAAGTGGTCAGTAGCTTTTACAGATGGGGAAACTGAGGCAAAGAGTGGGGAAGCGACTTGCTCAAGGTCACCCAGCAGGCCTTTGGCAGAACTGCAACTTGAACCCAGGTCTCCTGAGTGCTTGTGCTGCTTAGATACTAGTGTGATGGGGGTCGTATAAGCAGGTAAATGGAAGGAAGCTCCTCCATCTATAGAGGGTAAAGGGCAGGCAAATGTGTGCATGGGGCAGGACAGTGCTGCAACCACCTCCTGCTACTTTTGGGTGCTCAAACTGAGATACCTTGAGCCCGACTATCAGAAGTGCTGCACTTGCACAGATGCCTCTGGGAGCTGCAGGTGCTCAGTATCTGAGAATGCAGCCATGTTTCAAATTAGGAACCCAAACTTAGGCCTTCAAAGTTTTGTTGGCATAGCTGTGTCAGTCAGGGGTGTGGTGGTTTTGGTTTGTTTTGCTGATATAGTTATGCTGGCAAAAGCCTTGACTAGATGCAGTTATAGAGGCCAAAAAGTCCTTTTGAAAGTATAGCATGTTTCATTTGAGGAATCACTATAAGCTATAGCAACAAAAGAACTCTTGCTAGGATAAACTGCCCTAGGAGGGCTGGCCAGTATAACTGTATCTGTATAGTAATACTAGCAAACCCTTTCTAGTGTAGACAAGACCACAGTTGATATGTCTGGAAATATTGGCCTTAAGCTTTCTGAGTCATCCCTGTCTGGTAATTGTGGGTCATGGTAGTGAACCTTTATATTTAACACAGCAACTGGTGCTCTATAAAAGATTCATTTATCTACTTCTGGGCACTATTGTGAGTCCTAAATAAATAGTGCTTATAAAGTGGTACATAAGGGTAAATAGTATTAGGACTAGTCAGGGGAAGAGGTGGAAATAGAATCAGGACATAGTAAGGAACTCTGCACAGGCTTGTCCTCTGTGTGAGCTTTATAACATGCAAGTCAGGGCTACGTATGCTTCCTAGATCCCCGAAGTTGGTATGTGTTCAGAACACCAAGAAATATCCTTATACTGTAAATACCTGAAAACAGCACTTGAGAACTAAATAGTCCTCACCAAAACAGGCTGGAGGCAGTTGTTGTAGAGACTATTAATAACAAAGAAGGGTTGGACAGACTATTAGAACAAATGTGGCTTTACTAATCTGAACGGTTTTATTTTTTTTTGACTCCGCATAACTCCAAAACATTTCCATCTTGGACCCTGTATCTCGTGAAAAATTCTGCCTTCCTATACATTAATTCATGTGAAATTTCCAGTAGATTAGATAGATTTGGCAAAGTTACTATCAAAATCTAGTTTGGTGGAAGTCTTGCTTCAGTCTTAATCCTGGAGAGACTAGAATTTCTCCCTAAATTGCAATTAATTGATTGGCTTTTTGGTTTGTTCCCCCCTTTAAAAGCTTTGTAATATCAAAGTGAGAGTTAATGTCCAAGTGGCATGCTCCTAGGATGTTGGAACATGGCCAGTGCATATTGTTTCTGTGTACAATATCCTATTACAGCTGCTTGTCCCTGAATTGTCTTGACCTGTGTTTGACTACAGGTCTTTATTCTCTCACTGCTGCTTGTTTATAGGTTATTGTTTGTTACATCAAGTCATGTAATTGTTGTTTACCAGTTATGTAGGTAACATAATTTACTTGCTCTGTACGGTGACTCGGCTAAGTCTCTTAAAGATGATAATAATAGTATCAGTGTTTGTCTGTAACTTGTCATTTTCTATAACACTACATAGTAAATTGTCTGGGAGTTTTTTGCTTTGTAAAGAAATTTAAAGATTTTTTTTTTTTAAAGATAGTTTTCCCTAACAACTTAAATGTAGCCTCTCTTCAAACTCCAGTGTCAATGTGTAACTTTGTCTTTTATGCAAAGCTCTCTCCAAATAGTGAAGATTTTAATTTTGGGGGGAAAGCAGCTATTCACTACAGTAACACCAATAATAATATTCCTTGCTTGCTGTCCCCATGACTTGCTCTGCAGGTCTGTGATTGTCAGCATAGTAGAATTCAAGGCATGTGAATGGCACTGTAAAATTAACTAGGTAAAACAAAAATTCTGTAGTAAATAGCTGTTGGGAATCTGTGTGATAAATGTGAGAGAACGGAAGAGATCTGTGCAACTTGCTGAGCCTGCTGTGCTTCTTACAAGAAGATGTATGAGACATTCCTGTGGTGTTATCTGGACCGGTGATCTGCTAAGTCACTCCAATCCTCGACTCTGGGAGCCAGCCTTGCCCTGCTCTGCTGTGAGAACCCCCACTCCCAGGCTGTTCATGCACAGCCTCTAGCATGTAAGCTGCTCCCAGTTATGTGAGTGAGCATTTTTGGCCAACCGCTGCTTGGATTGTGCAACCGAATGACACTAGCCAAAATCTCCAGTTCCAGACACAACCCTAGGAACCTCTGTCTTGCAGTATCCAGTTATGCCTACTGAATGCTGCAAGCTTATATGAGTTGGTCAGTTTAACAAAGGCTTGTTATCCCAAGGGGTGTTTCTGACATGCTTCAACCCAAATGCACTGCTTCAGGTAGAAACCTCAATTCTGCATCTGAAGAAGTGAGGTTTTTACCCACGAAAGCTTATGCCCAAATAAATCTGTTAGTCTTTAAGGTGCCACCAGACTCCTTGTTTTTGTAGATACAGACTCATAGACTCATAGACTTTAAGGTCAGAAGGGACCATTATGGTCATCTAGTCTGACCTCCCGCATGATGCAGGCCACAAAAGCTGACCCACCCTATTTCCCTTATCTCAGCTGTTGAAGTCTCCAGATCGTGATTTAAAGACTTCAAGTCGCAGAGAATCCTCCAGCTTGCGACCCCTGCCCTATGCTGCGGAGGAAGGCAAAAAACCTCCAGGGCCTCTGCCAATCTACCCTGGAGGAAAATTCCTTCCCGACCCCAAATATGGCGATCAGTAGAACCCCGAGCATACAGGCAAGATTCTCCAGCCGGACCCACATTTTACCAGCGATGGCACGTTATTGCCTAATTGACTAAAATCACGTTATCCCATCAAACCATTCCCTCCATAAACTTATCTAGCCTAATCTTGAAGCCAGAGAGGTCTTTCGACGCCACCGTTTCCCTCGGAAGGCTGTTCCAAAATTTCACCCCTCTGACGGTCAGAAACCTTCGTCTAATTTCAAGCCTAAACTTCCCCACGGCCAGTTTATATCCATTCGTTCTCGTGTCCACATTAGTACTGAGCTGAAATAATTCCTCTCCCTCCCTGGTATTTATCCCTTTGATATATTTAAAGAGAGCAATCATATCCCCCCTCAGCCTTCTTTTGGTTAGGCTAAACAAACCGAGCTCCTCGAGTCTCCTTTCATAGGAAAGGTTTTCCATTCCTCGGATCAACCTAGTGGCCCTTCTCTGTACCCGTTCCAGTTTGAGTTCATCCTTTTTAAACATGGGAGACCAGAACTGCATGCAGTACTCCAAATGAGGTCTCACCAGCGCCTTGTATAACGGAAGCAGCACCTCCTTGTCCCTACTAGAAATACCTCGCCTAATGCATCCCAAGATCGCATTAGCTTTTTTAACAGCCACGTCACATTGCCGGCTCATAGTCATCCTATGACTAACACGGCTACCTCCTGATGCTTCAGGTAGAATAAACAAACAAATTTATTAACTACTGTCAAGGCTGATTCCCCACTCTGGCACTTTGAGTGCAGAAGGTGGGGGCCCACAAGGATTCTAAAAATTAATACTGGCCACTCCAGGCTTGTATTAAACTCCCAAGGTTACAGCTTTTCTCTGACCTTGGATTGGTAAATGCTGCCATCACCCAAGTGCAGAACCCCTTTCAAAGCCCAGGAAGGCACACTTGGGAATTACTTCCTGTGGGGTACCCTCAAGCCCTTCCCCACCCCCTGGGAAGAGCTGACAAAGAAAGGAAATCAGCTGTTGCCACCAGCTAATTAAACAACATGTGCACAAACCTCTTAGGACACAAAAATCCAATCCTGTTCTTAAAAAAGGTAAATTTTATTTAAAAAAAAAATCTGAGAACTCAGACTATTGCTAGATTTTAAAAAAGAGCAAATACAAGAATTAAGCACCAAGAATAGCTTTCTTGAGGTCCAGCTTAAACATTACAAGCAAAACAAAAGCACCTGGGGTTAGCACAGAGGAATCCACAAGCCATAAAGAAATAAGAGAGAAACCTAATGACGTCTTCCTAGACCTTTCCTGATCTACTTACATATCTGGGATTTCAGATGAGTAGTTTCTAGGTATGATACTGGTGGGTTTTCATACCTGGCACAAGCTTCTTACAACATAACTGCTGCCCTGTCCCCTTCTCCCCAGGAGAACAACCGCAGACAGACAAAGGGGAAGCTTTTTCTCAATTTTAAAAAAGTTTTAGCCTTCCCATTGGCTCTTTTGGTCAGGTGCCCACTCACTTCCTTTTACCTATACATAGCAGTGAGACTTTTAACCTTTTACAGATAAAGCAAGTAGAGAACAGCTACTACCCTGTTTCCCCGAAAATAAGACAGTGTCTTATATTAATTTTTGCTCCCAAAGATGCGCTAGGTCTTATTTTCAGGGGAGGTCTTATTTTTCCTGGAGCTTCGGGGCCTTATATTCCGGGGTGGCCTTATTATCGGGGAGGTCTTATTTTCGGGGGGATGCCTTATATTACAGCGAGAGGCAAAACTGGAAGTAGGTCTTATTTTCGGGGGATGTCTTATTTTCGGGGAAACAGGGTAAGAAGGATTTTATAGCTGGCTGGCTGGGTGTCCATAAAAGGGAGCTTACCCCCCCCGCCCCCTCTAAATTTATCATAACTACAAAAGATAGATTTTAAGTGATTATAAGTCAAAGCACAAGAAGTCAGATTTGGTCAAATGAAATAAAAGCAAAACACATTCTTAGCTGATCTTAACAGGCTGGCTGGTTGCCCTCCAGCCAGGCTCTCCCCTTTGGTAAGCGTTTCAGTTGCTTGGTGGTAGTGTCTGTAGATGGAGGTGGAAGAGAAAGAGCATGGCAAGCGTCTCTTCGTTTTATCATGTTCTTTCTTTCCTCTTGACTTTGCGCCCCCCCCCCTCCCTTTCAGGGTCAGGTGAGCATTACCTCATGTTAGTTCCAAACTGACCAAGGGAAGGAGGGTGACTCACTTGAGAGTCCAACAGATCCTTTGTTGCTGCCCAGGCCAGTGTCCTTTGTTCCTGTGAGGCTGGGCTGGGTTTGTCTTGATGAGGTGTGAACTGCCCCTCTGCTCCTGGAGAGTTTTTGCCTGGGCTTGTTTTAAGCCATGAAAACACATTTTCAGCCTCATAACTACATACATGAAATTACAACCTATAACATTACTAGAACAACAATGCTCAGTGCATTATGAGCCTTCCAAAGACACCCGACATGACAAACTTTGCACTGGATACCACACAATCATATTATAAAGATGGACATGGGGGTGCAGGGTATTCCCTGAGGTACAGAGCGTCACAATGTGTTCTGTCTTTATTTTTTTATTTTTTTTTTTTTGGTCCATTGCTTGGAACAATATAGCCAGTCCTTTCTATTTTATTTCTTCTAAGTAGGGGTCTCACATTTGAATTAATTTACCTCAGTGAATAACACAGGCCAATATCCACCTGCAGAAGAGGCTGTTGCAGCCAGAATCAGGTTTCCCACTTTAACAAATTGTATCTAGATGGCTAGCTAGAGACTTCTGACCATTCAGTGCTTCAGCTACATTTATGACCACAGCAAACAGACTTTTGCTGTGGTTCAGCTCCTGTCCTGAAACTGACCTTGGTGTGACTGGTAAATGATTAGTAAATGCCCATTCTGTAGCAGCATCCCCATCCTTTTATAGTAAAGCTTCTCATAGTTAGCTCCAGTGCCCTGGCCAAATTCCATCTTGGGTAATTCCATTCTGTCTCCTTAAAGTCTCCCTGTCATTTCAATTAGGCACAGGATTCTTCTTCCCTGCACAACAGTTTATAATGAGAAGTGTTGCTAGGGGCTGTCAAACGGCTGCCACCTTCACTCTGAGTGGCTGTGTTTTCTTGCTGGGTGTAGGGTTTCTTGCGTGCTCTGCAAAGCCCTTTGGAATCCTTCAGGGTGAAAGATGCTCTAAAAATACATCTCTGTTGGGTGTGGTACATAATTATTTTCAATTAATGCAAAACTATTCTAGCATGCTGGCTGGAAATTCCACTAACCGTCATGCATTCATTAGGCAGAGGTGTCTTGTTGCTTGAAAAACTTAAATGATGGATTGAAATCAATCTATGCTGACATGGGGGGGTTGGAAAACCAAGAGATCTCCCTTCTCACCTGTGGGTGTGTAGTGGGCACTGGGGCATTGTTTTCTTCCCTCTCCTTCAGTCAGGTGCAGGGCTACCATGGGAAACACCACCAGTGATCGATTGTCTGGGGAACGCCATGGCTCCAAATCTCACCGCTCCGATGGAGCCAGTAGCACCCATTCCACGAAGGATCATCCCCACAAGATCATGGTGGGCAGCACTGATGACCCCAATGTTTTCAGCACCCTTGACTCCAAGGTATGGGCTGGCCTCTCTGTCCCATTCCCCATCCTTACAGGATCATAACCAATGATGCAGGTCACCATATTGGCAGCTTTGCTGAGCTCATTTTCTAGCAGATCTGAGTCAGACATTTGTGGGGTTTTTTTTTTTGTTTTGTTTTTTGTTTTGGAAGTGCCTAATTACCCTACTGTGTGTACAATACACCCCACTACAGTCAGTGCCTAGGGGTGATAGTGTGTGTACAGAACACCCCTAGTCAAAGGGTATCAGGAAAAGGGGCCCATTTAGAAGAAAGTCCAGAGAATGGAGTGAGAAGAGGACACAACACAAAGGCTGTCATTTGGCTTGGACAGAGAAACTAGGAAATGACTCGGGCACATCCTCAGCTGGCGTAAATTTTCTTAGCTCCATTGTCTGAAGTGGAGCAATAATAATGTAATGCCAGCTACAGTTCTGCATCTTAGACTCCAGAGTCTAGGGGAGAAGGGAGTCATCCTCATATTGAAGGTAGTGCATAGATCAAGGAAGGTGAGAATAGAGGCATTTGGATACTACAGCAAGGAGAGCCGTGTAATTGCCTAGCTCCATGATGTGGCAAAGGGGTCTTGTGACTTGGACACAGAGATTGTTGGTGAGGGCAATGGAGAGGAGGAGCGAAGCGGAGAGGAAGTCAAAGCACTGGAGTAGATGCCGGGGGGGGGCAGTGGGTGGACAACAATTGGGTAATCTGTGGTGCATTGTGGAGCTGGAAAATCTGTGCTGCTCCTGCTCTGATGTGTGCTGAAGGGCTATGGAAGAACAGTGTGATTGGAGAGCCAGCCCTGATCCCTGCTGTATCTGCACCTTGGCTAGGCTGTAGGATGGCTCTTGTTTTCTTCATGCAGCTTGCTGGGGAGAAGGAGTTTATGTCATGGCAGCATGATCTGGAAGAGTCAGTAAAGCCTTCACAGCAGGCTCGTCCCACTGTCATACGCTGGGCTGATGGAGGCAAGGAGGTCTTCATCTCTGGGTCCTTCAACAACTGGAGTGCCAAGATCCCACTCATCAAAAGGTATTTCCTCTCTCTGGGAAGCCTTTGCATATGCAAGTCACAATAACTTGAGAAAGAGGGGTGATATAAAACACATTGGTTAAATAATTTATTTAACCAGTTCCCTCTACTAGATTTCTCACTGTTCTTTGGGTCTGTGTTCCTTAGTTGAAATACGGACTGGCGAATTATTATGGTTTTATTAGCCAAAATAGCTTTGAAAAACAACAAAATTACAGCAAGTGAAATAAAGTTGGTAATAATGTCTACAGTGTCAAAAACTGAACTCTTGAGACGTTGCTATCTTCAAGAAGTAATAAATCAGTTCAGTTAATTCAAGGGCTTAGTCTTGGTAACAAAAATAAGCTACCTTTCCCAGTTCTATACTAATCTGGGCAGGTGATTTTGGTGTCAACATGGAACTACAGATCCTTAAATATGGATCCTTCCAAGCATATCTGCCAGTGGAATTATGGGACTGCTTGTGGCAGTCCAGTGTGCGGTGTTGGTTCAGGTTGTTTGTGAATGTACAGGGATAGCATGGGACGTGTGTGTGTGAGAGAGAGAGAGAGAGAGTGGGGTAGGACTGGTCTGTGATGTGTTGAGATGTCTCTCGATGCGGAGTGTCTCTTAGCACAGTGGTTCTCAACCAGGGGTACACGTACCCCTGAGGGTATGCAGAGGTCTTCCAGGGGGTACATCAACTCATGTAGATATTTGTCTAGTTTCACAACAGGCTACATAAAAAGCACTATAGTGAAGTCAGTGCAAACTAAAATTTCATACGGACAATGACTTGTTTCTACTGCTATATACTATACACAGAAATGTAAGTACAATATTTATTTATATTCCAATTGATTTATTTTATAATTCTTTGTAAAACTGAGAATGTAAGCAATTTTTCAGTAACAGTGTGATGTGACACTTGTGTATTTTTATGTCTGATTTTTGTAAGCAAGTCATTTTTAAGTGAGGTGAAACTTGGGGGTACTCAAGGAAAATCAGACTCCTGAAAGGGGTACAGTAGTCTGGAAAGGTTGAGAGCCACTGTCTTTGCATTCTGTCTGTGCTCTCCAATTGAATTCTGTCTGTGCTCTCCAAAGCAGTACTGCGTGAGCTGAGCTCAGGCACTAGGCTCAGGCTCGAACTATCTAGGACTGGTGTGTCCGGTGACCCTGTGGAAGAGCAACCTCTGCGGTGCTATTTCTGTAATGACACTGTGTCCTGTTCTCCTCTCTCTCCTTTCAGCCACAATGACTTTGTTGCTATTCTGGACCTGCCCGAGGGTGAGCACCAATACAAGTTTTTTGTGGATGGCCAGTGGGTTCATGACCCTTCCGAGGTAACTCTCAGCTGTTTTCTCTCCTCAGAGACTCAGTGAGTGCTCTTCTTCGGCTCAGTATGCTGCCTCAGCACTGCGGAAATGCAGTGTGCACCCCATGCCCTAGGCTGGTTCAGCCTCTCCTCCCTGCTTCTCATGTAACGTTTTCTTCCCTTGGCTAGGATTGTACAGCACCAGCAGCCCTCACCCTGCTTTGACTGGTGCGGCACTGATTGCCCCTCTCTATACTCTGGTAACATGTTGAGGCTGTTTCACCCCATAAGCATTTCTGTGCATGTAGCTAATGGAATAGCTTTTTGAGCCTCTCTGCATCCATGTCCCAGGCCCTTGCTTCCCAGGACTAGCTTTACAGCAGATTCCTCCCCATGGCCTTGACTCCCTCATGCAGCAGTCTAGGTTTGAAATTAAAATTAAGGCATTTTCTTTAACATTGCCTGGGTGGAGGTGCAGAGAGCAGGAAGGGATTGGTGGGCATTGTGGGGTGAGGAGGGGTAGGGATGGGAAATAAGATACCAGTTCCATTGACTTATTCCTTGTGGGGCCTAGCTCTGTGCTCAAACAGACCATGTAATCCTACTTAGATCATCATCTGGTGACCCTCAACAGTGTTAAAAGGGGCAGCTGGGGACCAGAATTCCTTTAAGCCAGTTTCCGTATAACCAGCCAGATTAGGGCATCTGGTTCCCTTAATCTCCTGCTCAGAGGTGATGCCTGCAGCTGATAAAGGGGCAATGTGACAAGCATAGTAATCTAGTTATCTGCTGGTAGGAGGATGGGCCTACAGAAGAGGATTATTAAAGCACAGTGTGGGGGTGGAGTTGCATAGATTGCCAAAAATTGAGAGTAATTGGAAAGCAAATGGGCGTGAACAGTGAGAAAATGCTAATGAGGCATGCCTGTGAGCCCGTGTTCAGATAAGAGTCTGAAACTTCTGTATCCTGGAGTCTAGCAGGGCATTCTTCAACATAGTGTCTCTTGAGCCTTGGGCAGCTCTTGTGGCTTATCTGCTCTACCTCTGCCTCTTGGCTTGACACACAGATGGGTGATGTATGTGCTACTGTAGCAGGGGGATAGATAAATGGAGATGTGTGATTGTCCATGTGCAGGTGGGGGAGAGAGGGCTGGGAAAAGTGTGGGCTTGGCTACACTTGCGGATGTAGAGCGCTGGGAGTTAAACCAGTCTTCGGAGACCGCAGCAGGGAAAACGCAGCTGTGTGTTTACACTGTCAACTGCAAGCACAATGGCGTGGCCACATTAGCAGCTCTTGCAATCCCACAAAGAGCAGTGCATTGTGGTAGCTATCCCAGTGTGCAAGTGGCTGCAACATGCTTTTCAAATGCGGGAGGGTGGAGTGTGACAGGGAGTGTGTTGTGTATATGTGGGGGGAGAGACAGTGTGTTTTGGGGGCAGAGAGCATGTCAGCATGCTATCTTGTAAATTCAGACAGCAGCAGACCCTCCCCACACACACACACACTCACTCACAATAGCAGCATTCCACTTAATGGTTTGCTTTGTCCTGGAGCAGATAAGCATGCAGGCTGTCAGAAACGGAGCTTTGAAAGGGGATATCCGCATGCCTGCAGCCGATTTCAAAACAATGAGAAGAGTGGCCACTTGACTTCAGGGGATTATGGGACTTTCCGGAGGCCAGTCACAGCGCAGTAATGCAACACCTCGTCCACACTGACAACTGGGCATTTCAGCGGGGGCGCAGCAAGCTTTATGCGTCTCGTGGAGGTGGATTACCAGGAGCACTCCAGCTGCAGTGTTCAGGTGCTCTACATGCCTTGCCAGTGTGGACACCTCAGGAGTTAGGGTGCCCGGGGCTGCTTTAATGCGCTCTAACTTGCAAGTGTAGCCAAGCCCTGTGAGTGTGATTGTGTCAGTGGGAAGAGGATGTAGGTAGATCACTGTCTTCACTTTTCATTTCAGCCTGTGGTCACCAGCCAAATGGGCACCATTAACAATCTGATTCACGTTAAGAAGTCTGACTTCGAAGTATTTGATGCATTAAAGGTGGATTCTCTGGAGAGCTCAGAGACTTCGTGTCGAGGTACATTTCTCATGGCTCTCAGTGCTTGCTGACATTGACTGTGACACGTGCCCCTTTCCTCCTTCGAGACTTGCTCAAAGCTCCTATGACACTGATTGCACTGAAGGGAATGAGCCCCTTGAGTTGGAACTCCAGCTGACAGCTGGGCGGGTGCCTGACACACAGCTGCGAGGAGTAGTGTTTGTTGTTATATTGCACCATTGCCCAAGGACCCAATGCTGTGCAATGCACACACTAGTGTCCCCTCTCTGAAGAGCTTGCTGTCTGAGTGCCTTGTAAGTGTGAGTGATTTAGTTGTCTGATCTGAGCCTTGTAAGTGTGAATGGGGGTCAGTTGTGTGAAGATGCTGAGGTGCCAGAGTTTTTTAAAACTGAAATCTAACACACTAGATTTGCCAATTTTAAGCGTTCTAGCCAGTGTTGGAATGGAATTTAATTAGGATAACCTCTTTTTAATGAGTCCGGGGAGCACTGGTTTACTAATTTTACCACTTTTACCTTGGACAGTTTACTAATTCACCCAGAACCACATAAATGGACAATCAATAGTTTATCAACCGACTGTAGATACAAGCAATAATTTAGGCATGTACTGAACACAAAATACACATGCAGTCATGTAATTAACATAAACCAGTGTGAGGGCCTGCAGCTATACCAAGGAACAATACAAATCACCAAGATTTCTTCTTACGTTTACTGACAATCATCAGTTATCAATTCTTTAGTCCCTGTAATACATGATCATGCTTCTGGGACTTCTCCAAGGAGTAAGAGTGCACTAGTCCTAGGGCACACTGTGGTCACTGCTATTGGAATTGTTTGGTATGAGGGGTACTAGTTTAAAATATCAAGAACAATTGCTTAAAGTTGTTTTAAGTCTCTTAGGCCAATTTGTGGAGTTGACAAAGGAGAATATACATAAAACATTAGTTAGTTAAATGCCAAAATATAGTTACTTGAGGTCTCACTAAAAAGAGTGTGGCGCCATCAAGGTAACTCTGTTATTTATGCTAACGACCAGAAAGAAATACAGTCCCTGAAATACAACATCATGACTTCTTAGTCTGTAATCCTGGGATCGGGGGAGACTTTTCCATGCTGCTTGTCCGAGTGTCCGTAGCACTTCTGCATTCTGCAGCTTCTTTGTAGGTTTAGTTAACTGCTTTGTCCTGTAACCCTGGAGAGCGGGGTGGGGGAAACTGTCTACAGGGTACAGAGAGCTTTGGGTACTCTGACCAGGGTCCTAGTGGGGGCCAGCTATCATCACTCAATTAGGGTGAACTGCAAAAAATGGGGCAGCCAAACCCGCAAAAGCTGGCGGATATTCCAATACTTAGATTTACCAAGCTAGCATAAAACAGCTTCTTTATTACCTTACCGGTTACTCAGAAGTCCAAACAACACAGTTCCCTTAAAGTGATCCAGCCTCAAGTCTCCATCCAGGTGCCCACGTCAAATATGATGAAAATTTCTGTAAATCTTATTTCATCATATAAAAGAAAAGGTTCTACCAATCCCAAAGGATCGGACACATTACCCCCTAGGTTATTGAATATTCCAGATCTTACCCAAATACACACTACAGCCAATTCTTATTAACTAAACTAAAATTTATTAAAAAACGAGAGAGAGAGTATGGTTAAAAGATCAACATACATACAGACATGAGTTCAATTCATTAAGGTGCAGATTCATAGCAGAGATGGTGAGCTTCGTAGTTGCAAAGAGTTCTTTTAGAAATAGTTCATAGGTTATAGTCCAATGTCCAAATCTCATATTCAGGGCGTACCAGCATAACTGGGACCTCAGTCTTGCGACTGGAACTTCCCCTGATGAAGCCGAAGCAGATCTGAGATGACAGAATCAGGACCCAAGGCTCTTTTATACAATTTCATGTCCTCTTTGACAGATTGGGATTTCCTGGGGGGAACAAAAGGTAATTAGGATGACTTTGAAGGAGGTCCATCACCAGTACTTAGCTATACGGGCCAGTCTTTGTGCTCCAATTTCAGCTCTTGGTTTCTCTGCCTCTGTTGGTATCCAGTAGATGGTGTCTATGTATAACAAATATCTTCAATCTCTTTCTTATCGGAGGCTCTTTGTTTGATTCATTTCAAATAGTGCATTTCTGTACTAACCCAGACTGTTAACTGGAATTTCTCCTTCTTTAAGCGATTTCTTTTAATATTCCAAAGTTACACCTTGGTGAGTTGCTATCTACTTTTCTGGTCACAAGCTTCCTAGGTGATTTCAATTTGTGTTCTACACTCATCTCCGGTTCTTAATTTCCAATTAGATGGGAATTCTCACCACATGCAAATCATGAGAATTTCCTGTCTAGGAACTCTCCTTTCCTGGGAATTGTGCAATTCAACCTTTAGTTTGATTGACGCTCCCAACGAGCTGTGCCCCTGTGGTGATGTGCGTATTGATTCCCATGCTCTATTGTTCCATGAGGAGGCTCCAGTTTGGGATGTGCATAGGGGTGCATGGTGGTAATCCTGGTCGCTGTGGAGACGAGGGAGAATAAGGTGATTGCTTCCTAGTTAGGTAAGCAGAGAGAGGTCTGTAATAACCTATTATTAATATATATTCAAGGCATATTTGACATCTATACATCTTATAGCCTGCTGGGACCAGAATCTTCCATTGTGCAAGCAACTGGCTAGTTTAGTATCAGAGTTGATTGTTCTAGTAGTAACCTGTGTAGAAAACCTCCCATTTTCTTTCTGCTCACGTTGCAGCAAAGATCACTAGGTTACCTCTCCAGATGCCAGCTGTGCTAGGTTGACCTGGAATCGCTGACTGGTAGTTCAGTCATGCGTCAGGGAGTCCTGTAGCAGCAAGTCATGTAGATCATTTGAGAAGCCCCTCTGCTGCTGCTGATGCATCTTATACAGCAGTGGTTTTCAAACTTTTTTCCTGGGGATTCAGCTGAAGAAAATTGTTGATGCCCGCGACCCAACGGAGCTGGGGATGAGGGGTTTGGGAGGGGCTCAGGGCTCTGGACTGGGGGTGCAGGCTCTGGGGTGGGGCCAGAGATAAGGGGCTTGGGATGCAGGAAGGGCTTCTGGGTTTGGGGGGGCTCAGGGCTGGGGCAGGGAGTTGAGGTGTGGGAGGGGGTCAGGGCTCTGGGCTGGGGATGAGGGATTTGGGGTGCAGGAGGGGTTCTGGGTTTGGGTGGGGCTCAGGGCTGGGGCAGGTGGTTGGGGTGTAGGAGGGGCTCTGGGTTTGGGGGGGCTCAGGGCTGGGGCAGGGGATTGAGGCACAGTGTTGAGGCGCGGACTTGCCGCTGGCGGGTCCCAGTCAGTGGCGCAACGGGGGTGCTAAGGCAGGCTTCCCGCCTGTCCTGGCACCGTGGACTGCGCTGCACCCTGGAAGCAGCCAGCAGCAGGTCTGGCTCCTAGGCGGAGGTGCGACTCTCACCCACAGGCAGCTCCCCTCCCCCGCACCCCCATCCAATGGGAGTGCTGAGCCGGTGCTCAGGGCACAGGCAGTGTGCAGAGCCCCGTAGCCCCCCTACCTAGAAGCCGGACCCGCTGCTCACCACTTCCGTGGCACAGCGCGGTGTTGGAAAAGGTAGCCACTAGCCTGCCTCAGCTGGGCAGCACCACCTATGGGACTTTTAATGTCCTGGTCGGTGATGCTGACCCAGAGCAAGTCAACCCAGCACCTTACATGCCGTGACCCACTAGTGGGTTGCGACCCACGATTTGAAAAACACTGTTATATACAGAGGCTTGTGCTAGAGTGGGAAATAAGACAGTGCAGTGTGACTCTCAAATAACCCCTTCAGTGCAGGAAGTGACAACCCCTTAGTATGGTCCTGGCACCTAGATGTATCCCCTTTGGAAGCCACTGCTTGCAGAAGGTGTTGCCAAGGCCATGGAACTGACCTATTCTGTTGCACACATCTGCTCTCTTGGACTTGCAGCCCAGTGCCAATCCAGGGTTAATTAAAGAAGCCAGTGCTAGAAAGACCCTGCTGGGTCCCTCTAGTCCACTCGTGGGGTTCTTAGCGGATGTCACTAGAGCTTTGTCCAGACTTACTTAAACTCGTCTCAAGTGATGAAGCTTCTGACACTTCCCTTCACATCTCCTTGGTGTTTTGTAGACCTGTCTAGCTCCCCGCCAGGACTCTATGGCCAGGAAATGTATGTGTATCGACCGGAGGAGCGCTTCAAATCTCCACCCATCCTCCCTCCTCACCTCCTCCAAGTCATTCTCAACAAGGACACCAACATCTCTGTGAGTAGTAGCCTCTCCCTCTGAGTGGGTACATAGCTGGGTGTGGAGCAAGCAGGGGAGTTTGGGCTGAGCGCTAAGAGGCTCTGCATTAAGAGCAAAGGGGGCAAGAGGGTGCCCCACAGAGTTCTACAACATGTCCTGCTGCAGTCCTCCTAACTGTATGGCCTGAGGACATCATGGATCTCAGCATGCAGTACTCCAGGGGTTCTCAAACTTCATTGCACCGCAACCACCTTCTGACAAGAAAAATTACTACACAGCCCCAGGAGGGGGGACTGAAGCCTGAGCCTGCCTGAGCCCCGCTGCCCCGGGCGGGGGCAAAGCCCAAGGGCTTCAGCCCCAGGTGGGGGGGCCTGTAAACTGAGCCCTGCCACCTAGGGTGGTGGGGCTTGGGCTTTGGCCGTGGGCCCCAGCAAGTCTAATGCCAGCCCTGGTGACCTCATTAAAATGAGGTTGCGACTCACTTTGGGGTCCTGACCCACAGTTTGAGAACTGCTGCAATACTCCATCTCGATCCAAGCAGACAGCCCTCACTGTGTGCTGGTCAAAGCAGGCTGTACCTCTGCTCTGTGTTGGCTCCTTGCTCTCTCTGATGCAAAGCCTGGGCTCCATCCTTGCTCTAGACAATAGAACATGGCTAAAATCCAGAGTATAAGTCTAATGTCCACTGAAATGACTGATTCGTGCACACCCTAAAATGGGCTGGGGGTAGCATTTGCGAGTTGTTTCCGCATGGAGAGCCTGTCTGTGGCTGCCGCTCCCAGTTCCCATTTGCCTCTGTAGACTGACCCTTCTCCTTGTTCCAGTGTGATCCAGCTCTTCTACCGGAGCCCAACCATGTCATGCTCAACCACCTCTATGCACTCTCCATTAAGGTAAGTGATGGTCACACAGTGAGGTACCTGCTTCACCTCTGAGGGCCTACGAGAGGCTACTGCTTTTATGATCTTCCCTTTCTGCTACGGGGTGTTGTGATGTGTGGCCCGGAAGTCTACACAGCAATGAAATGGATGCGCAGCCTGAGCCGGCTACAACGGGCCAGCCGCGGGTTTGTCTTTGCTGTGTAGACATACCCCAGAGCTCCTCTTCAGGTCTGGGAAAGGTACTCTGAGCGTCACCGCTAAATGCAAGGTGGAACGGATTGTTTAGCATAGGTAGCACATATTGTAAGGGGCCATACCAGGTAGAGTGGCCTGCTAATGTCCCTGCAGTCAGAGCACAAAAAGAAGGGGTTAAGTGGGCTACAGATTGTTGTAATAAGCCCGCTGGTTGAGGGAGCCAAGGGGGCACTGAAACAGTTGGCTTGGCAAACTTTAGTGGTTCAAGGTGGATCAGGGTATAGGACTGTGGGGGCTGACCATGGGGGCTGGAGAGGCACTGGGGCTCCCTAGCCTACTGCCTAGTCCAGTTCCAGCCTGGCTCCCTCATTCCACATTGGCCTCTAACCTTGTTCTACTCTGTCCTTCCTATTAAAATCCACTTTTAGAGTGTGTAACTGTCTGAATCCCGCTTACATACAAATCTCATCGCAGCCTGAGTTATGGCGCTTCTGGGGTAGCTGGCATCTGCCCACCAGCCAAAGGGAATGTGATCTCAATTACGGACTAATTTAATGGGCGTGTTTAATGGGCAGACACTCTAGTCCCCCCCCCCCCCCCCCCCCCCCCCCCCCCCCCATGGCAGTACAGAAACTGGCAAACAGGCAGGGTGCCAGCCCAGAGCTGAGTGACTGAGACCGAGCAGGAAGCTGCAAGGCTCCCTCTGGGATTGATGGTGAGCTACGTGTGGCTTTGGCTTCCCAAAGTCTGTCCCTGTGGGCTGGCCTAGCTGCTGTTGCTGCACCATAGGAGGAGGCAAGGCAGCTGGGCCGGGGGCTCTGCCATCGCTGTGGGTGGAAGGGCTGGAAGGCCCTGACTGCTCCCTGCTCGCCTTGGGGAATGTTTTCACTAATGTCTCTGAGAACAGCGCTTCTCTGGGGCAAGAGCAGCAGCTTCAAACACTACTCTGCCTGCCTGCCTGCCCAGCTCAGACTCACATGGGCTCCACTGTCTTCCTGAACTCCCCAGCCCGTCCCACTGGTCCCAGTTGCCTGTTGGCCCCTGCTCATCGCAGCCTGCAGGTGCTGTGCTTCGCTGTCACTTCCATTGATACCCTGTAGTCCCCACCGCAAAGTGCAGGATGTGCTGAACAGAGCCAGTCAGAAAAGGTATTTCCGGAGACTCCATTTGGGGTGAACCAATACAGAACGTTTTGGGCAGCTCTCAGGGGAGGGTCTCGTCTGTCCCACCCTCACCGGAGCTTGGGGGGAGGCAGAGCAGCCTGGCGCTCTGCCTTTGCACCCCCTGTGGGAGGTAGGGAGACCTGCCTGTGTTTAGTTAAATCGGTAACCGATTTAGCCAGACTCGCTGTGCTGATCGGCATTTTCCCAGGACGTGGAGTTTTTGTCGGAAAACTTCGGACAGCTCTAGTGCCAGATGCTGCGCCCAGAGCACTGCTACCAGACCCTCATGTCATCCACAACCAACTTGCATGGCCATCAGGATCTAGCTTGGAATTTACCTCCGGGGACTTGTCTCTGCTTGTCTTTCTGTGCCGCTCTGATTCCTCTGCTCCTCTAGCACTGACCTTTCTCTCTGCCTTCCCGCAGTCCAGCCAGCACAAGAGCAGTCTCTGCAACTGCTGGTGCTAGCAACAGCTCCCTGTTCTCTGTCTCAGTGACTCTCCTCGTCTCAGATCTTGGCTAGGAGCTGTCTCTCCCTCCCTTCCCCTTACTACATCAGTGTAACTGTCCCAGCACTGTGAAGTATCCTGGGGCCGTGGTGCATCTATGATCCACACCACTAGCACTCTGCTGTGTTCTCTTGCAGGACGGCGTGATGGTGCTCAGTGCCACTCACCGTTACAAGAAGAAGTATGTCACCACTCTGCTGTACAAGCCCATCTGATCGTGTGTCTCGCCGCGTAGCACACGAGGAATGCCATGTTGTCTGCACGCACTGGGCCACAGGCCTAAGAAGAACTGGTGGTTGGCTCTAGCTGAACCTGGCAGGGGTGGAAGGGGATGAGCCCAGCCCTGTTGGGTGTCTGAGCTATTCCCTCTGTATTCTGTTGGTGAGATTTGATTTGACCCTTTCATAGCCTGCCTCTGTCGGGTCCTCTGGCTTTGCTGAGTTCCCTGGCTTGGTCTACTGCCTGCCAGCCTGGCTCCCCATGGGGGAGTCACAGCAGGGAAGGAGCTGTCGGAAGCTCTTCCCCAGCCCCTCTGCCTGCAAGAGCTTTGGCCAGTTCCTCCGGCGGTTGCCTGCGGTGGGGCAGAGCCATGTCACTCTCCCTTTGCACCCCATGCCAAGGCCCTCTAGAATGGCCTGCTTCAGGGCAGAGTGCAGGGGGTGTCTGCACCTGAGCTCCGCAGGCCTGGGCTGGCTTCCTACCTCCCTGCACTTAGCTAATGGGACTGGAATGTGCACATGGCTCCCCTGAGCAGAGACCAGGGTTAGTCCCAACCCCCCACCAGCATAACACACACACACACACTCACTCACTCACTGCATTGGAGGGTTAGTCCCAACCACTGCCCCACACACACACTGTCCTGCCCGCCTCAGGCATTGCCTCCCCCAACATTCAGCTCTTGAGCTGTGGGCCTAGGCCCCAGAACGCTGAGCCTTGACTTCTGTGGGGCCAAGAGGTGGGAATTTCCCAGGTTTAGGCCACAGCAGAATGGCTCTGTGTTGCCCTCCCCGGGCCAGTGCAGCATAGGAACTGCTGCTGTGATGCAGCAATTAGCGCCCCTACCCATCTGAGAGGAAGAGCCTGAGCTGCTGAGATGTCTGTCACATGGAGCCTGGGAGCTCTCTCTCCTGATGACGGCCTGCTCCAGCGCCTGTGGGGGGCAAGGGAAAGGCTCCTGCTGCGTCCGTGGCCCTTGCACCAGCTCTCAGCAGTCTGGGTATTTTGTGGGAAGAACTGCAGTGCTAGTGTACCCAGCAGCTGCCAGGGCTGCTCTGTCTGTGCAGGGGGCTCTCACATGCACTGGGGTTCTTGGCCTGGAAGCTGATCTCACTGTTGGGATGACAGTTTCCTGCCCCATTGCACTGAAGTGGCTGGTTCTGTCTTGGCTAAGAGCTTTCCCAGGGTCCCAGTGCAGCCTTCTCTCACTCCTCTGCCATTGCCTCAGGCTGGGCTCCGCAGAGCTCACTGGCTCTGCAGCCCTTCTTTCTGGGGGAGCACTAGTGGCTGAGCTCGGCCTCCCTGGATCATTTGTCCTGAGGAATGTTTAGTGAGTGGCATTGTCACAAGCCCTTTGGGCTAAGCCTCTGCTAGGTTCAGCTCTTAGCTTGCGGGTGGGGAGGGGGCATTGCCATTGTCTGCAATTGCACTTTACCAGTCACATGGAGAGCACTGGCTCCCAGTCCTGCTGGAGTGCCTCCAAGGGCAGGGGTTGCTTTGTGTGATGGTGAGATGAACACGGCTGTGCATGCTCCGCTGGACCCTGGAAGGGCTGCAGATGCCCAGAGACGAGCAGCCGGCTGCCTGGGTGGGAGACCAAGCTGGACAAGCAGCAGCAGCAGCTTCTGCCCAGCCCAGTCAAACCAGCGTGACCAGGGTGCTCACTGACCAAGAGGGAAACTTCTGCTTCGAGGTGAAAAGGAGGCAGGGCCAAGCCAGTCCTTCTGGGGCAGCTGCCTCTTCCCCTGTCGGCGCGGGGAGGACTTGGCACTAAGGGCTCGCTGACAGGTCAGCCTAGCACTGCTCCAGCGCTGGGAAGGGCAGGCACTGGCTCCAGGCTATGGATTAATTATTGCTCTCTGTGCTGCAGGGCCTGGCTGGAGATATTAGCATGACACGCACAGCAGAGGCTCCTGCCATTGTTAGGGCTGGTTCCTCTAGCATGTACGAGAGATGCTGGCTGCCTCAGACCAGGCCAAGAGCCCGAGAGTCAGCTTGCTCCCTGGTAACCGCCCGTGAGCACCTGTCAGACGCAGGGAGCAGAGGGCCAAGCTGAGGCAATGCTGCCAAGCAGTATGGGACTGCTGCCTTAAGGCAGAAAGCCCAGAGTCTGGGTGCTGTGGCCACTTACCTGCCTGCCCGGTGAGCATAGCTCTGCGGCGAGGCATTGGGGCTCGGCTAAAGGAAAGGGCTTGGACCAGGACATGCTGGGCACTGGCTCCCATTGCCAGCCCCTCACAGTCCCCGGTCCTGGAGGCATGGGGGTGAAGAGGGGCAGGTCTCCTGGTGCTTGGGTCACACACCCAGGAGAGCTCAGCCTACCATGAGGGGGAAGCAGCTGAGCCCCTTGTCCTGGCCCAGAGCCGTAGCCCAGCAAAGGAATGCAGTGAGTGGGTCACACCGTACTGCACAGCTGGGGGCTGCGCTTCAGTTCCTTGCATGCTGCGCAGGGATGGTGGAATCCCCAGCATCGAGCTGAAGGCATCCACTGGTCCCTGTCCTGCAGAAGCAGCAGGTGCAAAAGCCCCAGGAAGCCCTGCTGGTTCTGCTGTTGGTGCCTGTGCTGTAGCTCACGGCTGCGCTCTCCCACGGGAGCTGCAGCAGAGGCACAGGGCTAGTGATGCTGTAGGGGGTGAGGTTAGCCTCAGCCAGCCCTTTCTGCTAACAGCCCACACAGCTGTTTACTGCTGAACACAATGGCTGTGGTGAGGGGGTTCTTGGACCTTGGGGCTCTTACATGCCCTGGGTCAGCACTGAGGCAAGGGCAGCTCCTTGCTGCTGGATTTGGGGTAAGAAGGGCACCACAGGTGCCAGGCTCCCTTGCTGATTTGATGTAACTCATAAAGCCAGGCTAAGGCTTTGGCCCAAGCAATATGACTAATAAAGTTTGTTACAGAGGTTGGTGGGACCTCATCTGTGTCTGGCCGTGTCTGCATGCCAAGGAAGAGGGGCTGCAGTGAGGACCCAGGCCAGCCATTTGTGTGGTTTGAGATGATTGGACCCTGACGCATACTAAGCCAAAACTGGCTGTGGGTGTGTCCAGTATCAGGGCTGGGGCTGCCCCTGTGAAGTGCGTGCCACACACTCCTCTCTTCCTGACAGCATGGCCTTACTAAGGTGCTGCAGGGAGGCCAGGCTCATGGGAGGGCAGGTCACTGCAGGGGAAACTCAGCCAGACAGGCCTATGGGGCAGGGTGGCAAGCTCTTCCCACTGATGTCCTTGTCACAGTGAGGGTAGTGCACCCCCTCTCCCCATGGGAATGGCTAGGTGTGGGGATGTGTGAGAGCACCGGGGAGGTTGCCTGCCTCTCAGCAGCCTGCACTGGCAAAGCTGGGGGCAGCCTGGGTCCCAGTGGAAAGGGAGCTGGGATGGGGGGAGGCAGCAGCGCTGACCTGCCACTATTCATTAAGGTCCTTAGAGGCAAAAGACTACAGTAGCCAATGGGCAAAAAAAGTTTATTGGGGATGCCCCGCAAGGGAGCCCTGCATTTCTTAAACTTCATTTCTCCCCAAAGTTAGAGCCACGTTGGCCCCGTGGGAGGCCTGCCTTAGTCCAGGGCCCCACTACTCTCCCCTGGATTACACTCAGTCACTATATACATATCCTACAGCAGAGCCTCACCCCAGTCAAGGTTGGCCAAACTGGGGGCCTTTCCACTGCTGCTTTACAAATGGTTCCCCCCCAAAGCAGGCCTAAGCTGGGTGTGTCTCCCATCAGTGCCCCTGGGGGGCAGCAACGGTTCAGCTCTGGCTTACAGGGATTTGACACTTTGGTCATGTTGCCTCAGAAATTGCTTATCACCAAACGAATGGGTGAAGGTCCCAGCGGAGAAGGGTAAAAGCAGCCTGACGTCTCTGCTATGCACTGGTTCCAGCAGGAAGGACCTGCAGGCAAAGCCATCCTGTATTGGCAAGCAGCAGAAACAAGCGCTGCTCTCTAGGGCTTGTTTTCCCCAGAGCAGGGTGGACGGAGCCTACCACCCCTACAATTACAGCTGCATCAAATACGCTGTGTGGGAGGAAACCAGCTCACAAGATGCTCCAGGCCACTCAAGCAGCCACCTACACAGTCTGCTGCTTGCATGGACTCAGCAGCTGGCTGGAGGCCACCTGCTCTATCTCCCTGGCACAGGCAATGGCAGAGTACTGGTCTAACACATGCATGGCTGTGAGGTTCCACAACAGAGGGAGTGTGGCAGCAGGATGATGGGCCATGCTAGGGGACGGTGAGGTCACTGGGAAAGCAGCTTTGCCAGTTACCCCGGATACATTTCCTAGCAGTGATTAATCAAACGAGTATGGCTCCCTGGCAGTGTGGTACCAGACAGGGCTGGTGCTAGCCCAGGGGCCAAGCCTAATACAGTTTACGGCTAGCTTCCATGCAGAGGGGTTCAGTGCCAGGGTGGGTTCGCCGTGGGGGCACAGCAGTTCTTGCTGAGCCCTGCCCAGGAGCCGTTTCAGCCAGGCTTAGGGCTCAGGAGCTGGGAAGGTGAACAAAGCAGGGCCAGCTCTGGTCCTCCTGCCACTTTAGGGTGTGGGGGCGGCTCCTCTTCCTTCCATGCTCCTGGTGGGCCGGGATCACGTGGCTCGGGTGCCGGGACAAGCCCACTGACATTTCCCCTGGAGAGAAAGCACAAGCCAGCCTGAGGATGGGGAGCGGGCAGCCATCAGACACTAACCCCCACCCCATGCCACTGGGGGCTGGGAGCCCAGGCAGGCTGGTATGGCAAGCCAGCACCACTGTAGCAGCTGGTGGCATTGGGCCTGCTGCAGCATCATGGGCACAAGAGGAAGGGGTGCCAGACTGGACAGAGGGAGGGTGAGGACAGCCTCCAGAACAGCATCCGGGACACTCCGGCAGGCTAACTGTGCCCCCAACTGTTAATGCCCTGCCAGCTCTCCCCTGCATCCA